ACAGAACAACATTTTAGCAGAGAGAAGCAATGACACCAAGCAAACACACCAATGAATGATGATCTTGCTGCTGGATTCAGATAATTACAGCGTAAACCAGCACCTGGTGCCTACACAGGAGAAGACCCTCTGACACCTGATCTGCTGTAACATCACTGCTATCTGACAGGTTCAAACTGTAAAAAGTCCTTCACTGGTTTTATTTTTCAGTAATGATAAAACAGCACATGGGTGTCTAGGTTTTATGCAACACTAACTCTATGGGACCGTACATAGTGAAATATATGGTAGTGTAAAAGGAACTTCAAACTGCCACATTGCTGGAGTGCTGCTTGAGTTGGAGGTTTTTAAAAACAAAAAGTTTTGCCCTTAAAGTCCCGTAATGTCGATCAAACTGCTGTGAATGTTAATACAGACGGAGCAGCTGACCCCGGTCAGTGTAACAGCCGTAGTTCTGTGTGGACCCAGGTGTACTTGTTTTGGTTTTCTCTGTTGCTTGTATTTGGAGCTGCAGTGAAAGTCACACACGGATTGCTTATGTTGTCTATGTCTATGCTACATTCTACAAACTGACAGGGAGAGCCTCCATTTAGAACTTCTTCAGGTCTCTGGCAGGTGACATCATCTCAGTCTAGGAGGACAACCAGATGGAGACTGTCCTCGGGTTCTTGGAGGACGGAGGACCGACCCTCCCATAGAAGGTCTAGCCACTGAGACTTGATCTCAGAACTTGCTCCTCATTCAGTGCTGTGCTTTCATAACGATCAGCAGCAACAAACAGGGTTCCTCCTCAGTGTGACTCACAGGATTCCTGCTCTGATGGCTGCAATGCGCACATTTGGACCAGCAGAGGAAAGCCTCGCCTCAGGACAGGCAGAAGACTGAGATCTGACAGGACGGGGCAGCTGCTGCAACACATTCTGCTCTCTACCTTAATAACTGAATGTATTTAATGTCTGCTGAGCTCCACCACTCAGCTGTCTGCATAGAGCCGCACAACACACCAAAGTCTTCATATTTTAGAAAAAACTAAATAAAAATAAAGCTACCAGTACACACTACAGCTGTTATAACTGAAATATTTATATTATGTGTGAATAAGTGAGGGCCAAATTTAGCAGAAACAATAAATGATTCATCATCACAGGGATTTCAAACTGCAGTAAAGTGTTCAAGGCAGAACTACTGACACAGAACCAGATCCTTCATCGTGTTGCTGTGCTGGAATCAAACATGCATTTCCTACATGTGTGTGCTTTTACAGTCAGAAACCCTTAAACAAGAAGACCTGCAACACTCACAGACACTCCTAAAACTGAGAGCATCCCTGCTGCCTCAGCATATATTCAGCCTCCAAACTAGCGCAGTAGTTCCCTGTTGGAGCTGCAGCTCATCCAGCAGGACGTAGCAGCAGCACCAGTTCAGGACACAGTTACATCACCTGAGACCTGGAGAGCGGCTCACGGATCCGGTCGTTTCCATCCGCCTCTGCTGCTCCTATTTCGGTTTCTATCCCATGAACAGGACGTGCAGCAGTCCAGCAGGTCGGTCCAGCGGCGCAGCGCAGCGGAGGAGCGGAGGCGCTGCGTCAAGCCGCCGCCGAGACGCACCGACACCGGAAGCAGCTGCAGCCTGCAAATAACGCATCTGATGTGGACAGTAGCACACAGTCTGGGCCACTGGAGGCTGTCAGAGTTTTCTAGCTCCTATATGTCACAGTGTTTTTGATGTAATTGTTTATAATGTGTTTAATATTGCATCTAGATGTTAAATGTAAACCAAATATTCTTACATCTAAATCTTAAATCCAGCCTCATAATAATAATAATAATAAACTTTATTTATAGAGCACTCTTCAAAACAAATGTTACACAGTGCTGTCCAATAAAAATAAATTAAAAATTAAAATACAAATAAAGCAGGACGCGATAAAACATAAAACTGAGATAATATCAGGAAAAGCTCTCAGATAAAATAAAAATGTGTTTTAAGAAGTGACTTAACAGAGAAGTACAGAATCAGCCGACCTGATGTCCTCGGGCAGGTCGTCCAGAGCCTCTGAATGTTGAATCTAAATGGGTCACTGACTGTAAAACAAGTGTTCAACCAGAGTAGCTCAGGGCTCCAGCAGTGGGCCCTGGATCCATCCTCGGCCCAAGCCCATTCTCCACAGATCTGAGGTGGGTTCCTGCTCAGAGCTGTCCCACTGTCAGATCATCTAGTGCTCTATTGTTGGGTGGCAAATACTCAAAGGAATGGTGAAACTTCGTTCATTGTCCAGCTTTGTCTGCTGGCTGTTTGAGCCACTAGTACAGGAATGTCTGTGTCCTAAAGTCAGTCACTTCTCTTCGAAACAAAAGGCCAGTTTGAGCACAAAGCCAGTTACGAGCTCCTGTGTGGGTGGGCGTGGTAGAAAGTACCCCCATCAGTAGGGCCTCCTGTTGTAAGGGTCTGTCCGTGTCAGTGCCTTAGATTCTGTTCAAAGTTTACTTGTTTTTAAAGTAAATTCTGTTAAATATTTTGGCCGTTTTCAGAACTTGACATCTTTGCATTTTCACCCTCAAAACAATGTTTTACCTGAGGGGGGCATTTTAAAGGTTCAATATCTCCAGAAATACAACTTTCATGACATCTGGTGAGACAGACAAAATTATTACTGACAGGAAATTATCATCAGATACAAGTTAAATATATTTTAAAGGTAATATTTCCTAGATGCTAATTTGCTTTTCTGGTCAGTACACACAGAAAGCTGCATATGAAGTTTAAAATGGCCAAACCAAAAAGAAGATGAACACGCACTCACCAAACGGAGTCCTGTCAGTGTCTGCTGGTTCGATCAGCCGAAGTTTGAATTACGGTGAAATGATTAAAACAAGTCAACGGACAATAAAACTGTGAAACATGTGCTGCGACTCCAATAAATAACGACAAGATAACAGTTATTATATCAGAAGTAAATCCACACAAGGATGACACCTGAGCTCACTGTCTCGTCCCAACACCGGTCTGTCATCACTGGCCAGACTGTCAATCAAGCGGCCGCACTTTAATTATAGAATTAACTTTCGACGGACCACTGTATCTGTAGGTTTGGCCAGAGGAAAAAGAAAAACCCTTGACCTGTAGATAAAGTAAAGTCTTTTCCCTTGACCTCTTATTTTGGGCTGGAGATCTGGGGTCTATGGAGCCAGAGCTTTCTGGACCCAGCCCCTGTTGACTGTAGTGGTGCTGCAGGTTTTTGACACTTTTGGGTTGGGTTCACCTTTCAGTTCCTACGTTCAACCTTCTTACACAGTATATGGTCAAAACCCCAGTTGTCAGTTCAATCAGGAGCTGCAGGCTGGACCTGATAACAGCTCTTCTCTTACAATGACAACTTGACAGCTTGAGCAGTGTTCAGATGAGCAAGGCGGGTTGAAACCTGTTCACAAAGGCCGAAGGTGCTTCTACTAAAGACTGAATTGAAAGGAGAGAAATGTTACACAATCACTTAATTTACATTTTAGGTTTTTAATTAACTGACATCACTCGTGTACCTCACAAAATGTGAACATTGTGAATTTACCAGATGCTAAGTCCTGCTGGAGAAGACAAACCAACACCTCCAAAAGGCTGGTCAGCAGATTGAGGTGTAAAGGGCTGTAGAATCATCTGGTGGATGCTGCGTTTGGACTTGATGAGTAACAATGGATCAACATCAGCATCCAAAATCATCAAAGGCTGCGAAGATATCACACTGGATCTCAAACACCTTGGACTTTGTCCCTCTCCACTCCTCCAGCCTCTAGGATCTTGATTCCCAAATGAAATGCACAGTTTACTTTTATCTGAGAAGAAGTCCAGAGGGCTGCACTATGATTAGAGATTAGTGGGTTAGTGAGGTATCCATCCATCCATCCACCCATCATCTCTACACCTTAATCCTCACTGGCTTGGTGGGGGGCTGGAGTCTATCCCAG